CTCCTGGATCCTTAAATCCAGGGGTAGTAGTCCGGCCAGGAGAAGGGCCGAGTTCAAGGAGATAGTTCTATAAGCCCTTACTATCTTCTGCACGAAGCCGCGTTGCACTGAGTTCAGTAATTTTCTTGTCTGCACCTTTTTGGTAGCCGGTGCCCAAATGCTCGCTGCATAAAGAATCACCGGCTCTACCACCGCCAAGTATATGGTCCTCACTATCTCCGAATTAAGACCCCAGTTGATTTTCGCGGCCCTCGAAAGTTGGCCATACATTTTCTGGGCCTTCCTGCAAATATTCTTTATGTGCACGTTAAATGTCAGTTTATTGTCAATTGTCAGACCAAGTATTTTAATTTCACGGGAGTAAACTATTGCCTCCCCGCCCATGGTTAGAGCTGGTGAGTCGTACTTGAGTTTGTTTGTAAACAATATGGCCTTAGTTTTATGTGGCGCGAAACGTAATTTATTTTTGACTCCCCAGCTCCAAACATGCCCGAGGACGGCATTAGTTCGTCTTTGTACCTCCTGTGCCGTGTCTCCGGAGACAATGAGGACCACATCATCAGCGAATGCCTGGCAGTGCTCCCCCTGCCCCTGCTCCGTACTGCTTACAATTCGAATACTATTACAAAGACTTTTACAGTAAGTAGGTGAATTATATAAATAATATACATTTGTTCTAGTTACATAGTGCTACGTTTAAAACTGTCTTTTACAATTTTACTACTAATTTATTTTTTACATTGTTTTAACCTCCTCTTATTAATGTTATACAAATTTCATACTATTGTTATTTCATTCTAGTCCTAATTTAAATAACAATTATTAATATAATGCTATCACAAACTTAGAATTTGTTTTATGCTTACTATTATGATGACTTTATGTTTATGACATTGTTATCTTATATAAATAATCTATACTAGTTCTTGTCCTTATTTTTATGACAATTCTTTAGATAATGTTGTTTAAACTTTTTATATACATATATATACACATACATACACATACACATATATATATATATATATATACACATACATACACATATATACATATATATATATATATTTCCCTTTTTCCGTTCGTGTCGTTCTTATAATTTATAAATAGTTAATGCATAGACTTATTATCTTACACCTATCACGTATTATACATTTCTATATATCTTATGCATGTATATATAACATTGGAACTTTCCACTGTTGGTTATTTACATTTGTATATGCTATTGAATAGAATAATATACAATACAATAACTAATTCTTGTCCTACGTCTTACTTACACTTTTATTAGAATATACGTAACATACGATTTCATTGTGTATTAGTGGGGCATTGTTCTTTACTGTTATTTTTATATTCTTTTTTATTTTTTTTTATTATTTTTTTTATTATATTACGTTGTTATTCATTTTTTTAATATATCTACAACGTTATATACAATCTTTTTCACTTGATCTTATATGTGTGATATGTATTATTATTATGTGTTTTTTTTTTATTTTTTTTTATTATTATTTTTTTTATTAGAGCCTCTTTTATAATAGTTTCCTTATTAATTACTTTCTATTTACACTAGTTCACGATACTATTCTATTCTAATCCTTGACTTCATATTATTACATATAAATACTTACACACGCATACACATATATACATACATACTTACTTATACATAACCATTCCCATTCATATACATATACTTATTGTAACTAAATTCTTATACAGTTGCGCATAATATAAATAGTATGTATATTAATTAGTCTACCACTTTGCTTCCGTTTTCTTTATTTATAGTTTTTAAAATGGATAGAGCAAAGCTTATAAAATAAGATCTGCAATAGTCATCTGACATGATTATGCTTAGGTTCTTAGAGCTTATGTCCATTCCCATGCTGCATTCGCACTCGAACCTTTTTTTGCCAAAACGTTGGCATTCTAATATTATATGCTCAATTGTTTGGTGTGAGCTATTATCGCATGTGCAGTGTGGGGATGGTGCTAACTTAAACTTGTAAAGATAGGCTTTATTGCCACCATGACCGGTTAGTAACTGCGTTATGATGTTAGTTAAGTTCATATGTTTAAGTATTTTGTATGCTGTCGTGACGCTCGGGAAGAAAGCTCTCGTTGTTTCACTGGTGAGTGCCTCTTCATACTTGAGTTGCCAATTTAGCAGGGTGTGGTTTCTGGTGAGGTACTTGGCGTACGACAATGGGAACAAGTCATATGCGGATCTCTGCTTTTTATGAGTGGCGGCATATTTAGCTAACTCATCTGCTCTCTCGTTTCCCGTTAGCCCACAATGAGCTTTAATCCAGTAAAAATTTATTTCCATTTTTCTGTTTTCTAGAATATTCAGTTCTGAATTAATTTCTGCAGCGATCGGATTAAGTGCTGATGGCTTGCAAATAGTAGTTAATGCTGATCTGGAATCGCTTAAAATATTAGCCTGGGAATACTTGTTGTCCATCACAAATTTGATCGCTTTCAAGATGGCTATTAATTCCGCTTGATAAACACTACAGTAGGTCTCAAGTTTACAAGTTATATTTTTGATTTCTATCCCATTTTGCCAGACAGAAATTGCAGCTCCGACCATATTGTTCATCTTGCTTCCATCTGTATAGATGTTTATCCAATTGTTGCTAATGTTATTTATATCTTCTTGTTTTGTTATTAGCTTGAACTCTCGTTGTCGTCTTTCTGCGGGATGTGGTAGGTGATATGGACTAATCCTCATCTCAAGGTGTCTTCCTGGAAGTGACTTCATAGGTTTACCTCTTTTGATTTCATAGATCTCTGCGTTTTCTTTGGCACGTAAAGCTAGTGGAATGATTTGAGCTAGAAGTGCACTTGAGATAAGAGAGATGGTTTTGTGTCCCTTGCAAATGCGGATACTGAACATGCGTGTAATTCTATTAAGGATTCGTTCGATATATTTTTTATTTGTGGTTTCTGCCCAGCAACTGGCTGCGTAAAGGATAGTAGGTTCCACTACTGCTAGATAGATAGTTCGTATGATATCTGAGTTCAAGCCCCACTGAGCCCTTGCAGCTCTAGAAACTATTTTGTATAAGTTGATGGCCTTGCGGCAGACGTAATCTATATGGGGCTTAAAGCTCAAATTTTTATCTATTATGATTCCAAGAATTTTTAAATGGTCCGAGTATACTAGAGCGACCTTATCCATAAATAGCTTTGGGCAATGATATTTGAGTTTTTTGGTGATGATGGTCGTTTGAGTTTTGTGCGGGGCAAATTTTAGTTTGTGCTTACGTCCCCAATCTTTTATTATTTTCAAAGTATTATTTATGTCTTTCTCCAATTGTACTCCATCCTTGTTTGAGGCTACTACTAATATGTCATCTGCGAAGGCCTGTACATGCGCAGGTGCATTTTCTGTTGCTTGCAGCAATGGATCCAATTGGACATTCCACAGCATGGGTCCGCATGTTGAGCCTTGGATGCACCCCTTGCTTGTGGGTAGGCTTGTTGTTTCGTTTGCATAGTTTAAGCTAATTTCTCTACCAGAAAGATAGCTGGTAATAAGTCTTAGCATGGTTGGTTCGACTCGTTTATTTTCTAGTTCTTTGATGATAGCGGGCCACCATGCGTTGTCGAATGCACCTTCGATGTCTAATGATACCAGTGCTATTATCTCTTTTCTGCGAAGCCCTTCTTTTATCAGAGTAATTATATCGTAAAGTGCGTCCTCTGTACTGCGCTGTGGAGTAAATCCGTACTGCCTCTGATTCATTTTTTCTTCGTTGCCCAACTGCCATTGAACTCTGTTCGTGAAAAGTTTTTCTAGTATCTTTCCCAATACTGGCAGGAGACCGATGGGGCGATATGATTTAGGTTGAGTATAGTCGTCTTTGCTCGGTTTAGGTATCACTTTTATGGTAGCTCTTTTCCAGTTATAAGGGAAGTAGCCCAACTCCAGACATTTGTTGTATATTGAAACAAGTATTTCTGGATTGCTCTTGTACGATTCTTGGCATATGTCTGAGGTAAGTCCATCTTCCCCTGGTGCTTTCTTTGGGTCCATATTATTCAATATGTGTTCTATTTCGACTTGTGTAAATAGTGTCGTGGTATCAGGCTGTTGATGATTAATATGCGTAATGAGTTCTTTTACTTTTTCCCTTATTATTGACTGCTCTTCTGTGTCCGTGTTACAACTGTCCTTTGGGTAAAATGTTTCAGCTAGAAGAGCTGCTGATTCTTTTGCCGATAAGATTTTTCCGCTTTGGTCCCTTAATAGTTTGTCTTCTTCCCTGTTTGAACATACTTTTAGGATGCGATATGTTCGTTGCCAGATGGTTTCTTTTTCTTCTTTAGTGCACAGGTCTTTCCAGCTCTTTGTTGAAGCTCTTTCAATACTTGTTGTATACTCTTCTTTGGCGATCAAGTATTGTTGTATGACATGGTCTCTGCGTTTGGGGTGTGCGTTCTTAATTCTTCTACGAATTCTTATCATTTCGTCTTTTTTAACTTTCAACTCAGCGTTCCACCATTTCGCTGCTTTAGATATTTGTTTTCTTTTTATTGTAGGAATAGTCTTGGTACAGGCTTCCAAGATACATTCTGTATAATCAACTACTATTTTGTCTAGATGTTCTCTTGTCCTTACCTCCTCTATGCTTTCTTTAGTAAGATTCTTTGTGTCGATTGCTTTCTCTAGTTCTATTCTAAAGCTATTCCAGTCAGCAATTTTCGTGTTGAATTTCCTGGTACTGTTGATTTTTATCTGTTGTAATGTGTTTGATATAGTTAGGTTAAAAAGGATGGGTTTATGATTTGAGATGGTGCCAAACGAATCATCTATTCTCCAGTTATTGATTTTGTGTAGCAAAGAGGGTGTGCATAATGTTATGTCTATTATGCTCGAGCAGAGTGAACCCATTCTAAATGCGCTGAATGTAGGAGATTTGCCAGTATTTAATATCTCAAGATTGATTTCTGCTACCGTTTCCATTAACAGAGTTCCCCTTTTATCATCTGCCTTGCATACTGCTTGCATTAGCATCGCCTCCAATGATGACATCTTTAGTGTTCATTGCTTCCTTGAATTTTTTGATCGTGCTTAAGTCTTCTTCGATAATTCCTTTCTCGTGTAAATACATGCTAATTATGCCTACGTTAGTGTGACCTATATTTAATTCAACAACTACAATATCCTCCGTTATTAATCTAGGGTTAATGGTAAACTGAATGTTTGGGTCTGTGATGACTATTGCGGATCTTACTGGTTTGGTTTTATCGTTTGTGATCTTTTGTATGACGCGGTAATGTGATCCAACAGTTACATGTGATTTAGCTCCAACGTAAGGTTCTTGCATTAGTATCACTGAAAAACCTTTCGTTGTAGCTGCTCGTAAACATTCTAGAGTTGCCGCGCGTCCTCGATCGAGATTATATTGAACTATTTTGATGACATTCTCATTGCCTGAAGGGCCAGTTGTGACTGTTTTATTATGTGTGTCACCTGATTCTTAACAGTATGAGACTGAACTTCTAGCTATCTTGTCCCACTTGTGCCACTCTGGGCATTCGGGGCTATATGCTGGATGTATTGCATTTTCTTTGCCAAGGTTCTTGCAGTTAATACATACGGGAGCAGCGTTCCTGTTTGTGCATGTTCTAGTATCATGGCCCCCTGAGCAGTAGCCACAACCCAGTTCTTTTGTGCAGTCCTTTGCTCTATGATTGAAGCCTAGACACTTGAAGCACTGGGTAAGAGGGGACTGATCGATGCAGGGGACAACCTGATATCCGATACGTAACTTTTGGTCTTTTAAGTGAGTCCACATTTGCGGAGAGACTTCAAGTATGATGTTACTTAATTCGCGGGTTCTGCCTTTTGTTCTGCGAAGAATTCTAACTAATTTTTGTTCTTCGGAAAGGTCTGTGATTAATTTAGAGTTTTGCACTGTGATTGCTTTGGCCAGTTTAGTATCATTGAGATCGTTTGTAACTCTTATCAGGCGCAGTTGCGGGTGTTTAACAGGTGGTGTCGAGACAGTTAGCTTAGTGCATGAGTCACGTATAGCTGTTTTTAAAACATACCTGTCTTCAGGAGAGTCACAGCATATTACCACTCTCTGATTTCTTAGTTTTGTTACCTTATTCACCCTTACACCAAGTTCTACGGGATCAACGTCTGACCTAACTTGTTTTAAGATCTCGTCACACGTAGATCGCGGGTCTATAGACTCTACGATCATGGCGTATCGAGGAGTCGTTGTTGCTTCTGCGTATGTAGGTTTGTAGGGCTGAATTGGCTTTATGCTTTCTGATTGTGGTGTTGTTCTACTTTGTTCTTCATTTCTCTAAATATTTGCATACGTTCTATTGTATTCCTGTTTTAGTTCCAAAATTTTTTCATTAATGTCCGCAATTGCCAATTCAGTACCCAATCCTGAGTTCCCTTGCAAGACTGTTTGAGCTGTGCTACATTCTTTTAATTCATTTAAATCAGAGTGTAGTGTTTTAATCATGTCAACTACAGGTTTTATCATCGTTTCTAGATCTTCTTTTTGGATATTAGCAGTTATTTCGCTGACAGCTGTCCCATTCTTTAGTGTTTGTATTATTTGTTTCGTTTCATGTACGTTATTTACTATATCCTCAATACGGGGGTCGTTTGGCATTTTTAATTCTGTTAGGACAGGTTGTTGTGTCTCACGTTGAGATCTGGCAAGTTCTTTTACTGATAGGCAAAGATCTTCAAGCTGTTTGCCCATTTCAATGACCGTCTTAGATAGATGTGCCAGATTCTCAGTGCCAAGGTCGGTATGTGCTAATGAGGTTATTGCAGGTGGAGGAGCATGAGACTTAGCTGCCAAACTACAGACTTCTACATTAATTTTGTTTATAGCCTTTAGTGGTTCATCCATTTCGTAACTAAGCCAGTTTCTGATAGCCTCTACAGCTTTGCCTGTGGTTGTAATGGCTTCATATGTGGCTTTAATCAATCCGTGGTGGGTATTCTGGATTTCCGCCAATTGCTTATTGTGGGCCCTTTCAATTCTGATTATTTCCTTTGCTGCGCGGGATTTTTCCTGCTCTAGGGCTAGCCGGTGACGAGAGCGAGAGTCCGATAATGACAACACCGTCTCGTAGAGTCCTTGCAAAGAGTCATGCACCTCACTTTTGCATTCTCGTTTCATGTTGCCCGCTTTTTCGAGGGCTTCTTTCCCGGAAAGCAAAAACTCATTGGCGCGTTGCGTGGCAAGGTCCATTGATATACCCGCGCGCTTGTAAGCTGGAGGGAGTATACTGGACCTTCTGCTCTTATTGCTACTGACGATGCTGTCGGCGTCAGACCAATCGTCGTCTGTCTCTCGAATCCGCTTGCATAAGCCCGGTGCATCCATTTCCCTTTCCATATCAAGCGCTTGGGAACTATTGCAGTCAGATTCCTCTTCTTGTGCCGCTGAGCTCGACAGCTTTATCGGGTCGCTTTTGTCCTCATTTCCCTTGTTAGTATGGGCTGAGCTAGATGCGTCAGTGCACAGTTCGCTGACAATGAAGCCTCTGCTAGGTTGCACCTCTTCTGCCGTCTTGCCAGTTGTGGATGCATTCTGTATCAGAACTTTTTTACGCAGAGCTGAGCTGGGAGTTGGACTAGCGGCTCTGGTTGTCTTGGAGGGCCTTGATTTGGTCGATGCAGTGCCTGAAGTGACAGATTTGCTTGACATATTTACGAAAAAGTTAAATTTAGTTTTGCCGATCTTTAAAAACCCGCGCGATTGGGATAGTTTAGTATGTGTTAGATTCCGTTTTCCAAGCCAAACAGATTGAATCCAAACACGGCTGTATTCGGTTAAGAGGTTTCCAAGTTATGGGCGTTTGAAAATTTCCAATATGGCCGCACTTTATTTTCTCTTTGCTCTTGGTTGACCACCAGTTATCCTAAGAATTTCAAGTTTGGGTTCAAATCACAGGAAATGATGTGTTCTAAGTGGTAACGGTGGTTTCGGCCTCCTAATAGTGAGGTGCTCGCAAGTTCTAGAATCAGCTCCGCTAGGTTCTCCTGAGAAAAATGATGCCAAGCTCGGTCACTTTTGCTCAACTGGTTCCTGAATAAAGTGATGAAACCGTTTTCCAATATGGCCGCCAATTCGACTCAAGTTGTCCAACTCGAAAACGGTAGCAACTAAACTGGTCGAGTTTGGGCTCTTTAGAAAGCTCCTGAAGTAATGATTATGAATTTTTGATAGAAAAACTAAAATAGTTTTTATTTTTTGATATTTATACAAAAATATTAAATAAATACAAAAAATTTGATATCTTAAAGACCGTTACAGATATTTGAATTCTGTAAACGGATAAAGTTTAGGAATTAAAAGATCCGCCTTAGGGTTAAATCAAAAGTAGCCGCAGATGTCCACAAGTGGGACCTCGTGAACTTGTATATTCACAACTAGAAAATTTTTTAACTTAAAAACTACTTATTGCAAAAATCCAAAATTTTGTATATACATTTAGTGTATTAGTCTTAACAATATTTTATAATAAAAACTAAAAGATTCAATTTCGTTTTTTATAAATTAATTAATAATTATTTCTAAAATTTAAAAGTTCAATATTTCTTCGACCATTTAACTTTTAATAGTTTCAAAAACTGCTCCCGGCTCCTCTCCACGTTTGCTAACAGAATGCGACTCCTAAAATAGCCGCACGATTTTGCATCACTGAACACGTGCCCACGTGGTACTTGTTTTTTTGTGTTTTTCTCAGAAACTGTTACTCACAAAAATCTCAAATTTTGCGCGGTTGTAGGGACCACTAATAGCTTCAAAGCCGCACAATAAAAATTGGGTGTCTTCGATTTACTTTTTAAAAAATTTAATTTTGAAATTTTACCGAAATTTAAAAGTTCAATAATTCTTAAACCACTTAACTTAAATTTCTTTTGAAATTTGCTCCAGCCTCTTCTCCACGTGTGCTACCGGAGTAGGACTTCAAAATCGGCCGCACGATTCCGGATCACAAAACACGTGCCCACGTGGCACTTGTTTTTTTACGTTTTTCTCCGAAACTATACTTCGGAAGAATAACAAATTTTGCACATATGTAGGGGCCACTGATAGCTTTAGAGCCACACTATAAAAAGTTGGGGTCAAAGCGCTTAATCGCACAGCGTTACTCTTCAAAGATTTTTCACTTTTCGAAAATCACTTTTTTCCAAATAACTTTTCAACCAAAACTCCGATTTTCTCGCACTTTCCACTTATTTAAACCTCTAGACGAGACGCGTCTTTTGGTATATCGCACGTGAAAATCAGATGCAAAAAACCTATTTTTAGGTATTTTTAAACGCGGAGCGACTTAAAAACGTGGCGTTCGGGACGACGGGCGGTACGGAACTGGTTAGGTTAGGTTAGGTTAGGTTAGGTTAGGTTTTTTTTTTTTTTGTATGCTTTGCTGCTTCCCTCTGACATAGGGGTCAGAGACATTGTCAGCTCGACACGGACTTTGAATTCATGTTCTTTTATTTATTTAGTCCTTGATGTTATAAAAGGTGTAGAGGACTCCGGGTTTTCGTTCGGGAGTCCTACTACTCTTAGTCTAGTGCATGCAACAACAATTTCCAATACTTAATGCTAGGGGTAGTGACAACTTATATAATACTTATATGACTTATACTATTTGTTAGTTATAGCTTATGTTCTATTTGATTAATGCTAATACATATTTCAATTTATTTTGTAATGCTGATCTGTAATATAATACAATATATTATGACAGCATCCTTACTTAAACAGTTTTATTCCTATTTATTACTCTTTTTGCAATTTTCAAACAATAACTCATAAATTTTTCTCTGTATTTACTCATCATTATGATATTTATATTCTCCTTAATTAATTTTAATTCAATTTCGTTTTCTATTTTCAGGCGCTCTGCGGCGTATGCGGGACAATCCAGCAAAATGTGTGGCACAGTTTCTTCAGCATCGCGGTCGCAAATGCACGATGGATTCTCTTTACACTTAAAGCGGTGTAAGTATTCAGAAAATCCACCATGCCCTGTCATGACTTGAGTAGTCTCGCTGCTTGCTTCAAATTTTCTTATTATTCGGTAGGCCACTTTCGCGTCTGGGAAAAACAGCTTCGTGATCTTTCCTGTTTCGCCAGTCTGGTATCTTTGGTTCCATTCGTCTAGCGTTGCCATACGGATGCTTCGCTTGACGAATGAAACCGGGCAAAGATCGTAATCCGGTCTCACTTTGGAATTTTTTGCGGCCTCTTTTGCTAGTCTGTCTGCTCGTTCATTCCCCTCTAAGCCCGCGTGGGCTTTAATCCAAAACAAAGTTACTACTTTGTTTTGGAGA